AAATAAAAATGCAAGTGCTTTAAAAATGGAAGACAAGTATCACTTTTACACTGTGTATACCCTGCAACAGCCTTTTGGCATTGATTCTGAAGCACTGCACAGTCCCAATTCCTATCATGATTTACACCAAATAGATTTATGATGACCCCTGGTATTCATGGTGTTACTATTTGGTAGTTTTCTTTCACATCATTTATTTAAAAACAAAAAAAGAGTATGAAGAGGGGCTTGCCTGGTGACCTGTTTGATTTTTGAGTATATCTAGATTTATTCTAATATATGCATTTGTGTGTCTGTGTATTTCATTTTTCAGTGTTATTTCTTCACTATTGAATTTGGCCTTTGTAAGCAAGATGGACAACTGAGGGCTTATGGAGCAGGCACTTTATGATAAAGTTGCATGGATATCAATTTTGTTGGAATATTTTGAATATTCCAGATGACAGAACACATCCATGAACACCAATTAGCAGTCAGGAGACATGATGAAAATTCTTTAATTTCATAATACATGGACAGACTTGACCATAGTTTCAAATGGGAAGCTGTGATCATCCTAGACCAAGCCAAGTCCAAAAATGATGGGAATTTCATACACATAAACAATATATATGGACTATGCAAAAGAGACAGTTAGCAAGCCGAAAAGGAAACAAAAAGACCTAAGCACCTCTTCACCAGGAATCAGTACCCAGGTGAGTATAGATTAACTCTTAGATTAACATCAGATCAATAATCAAGTAAAAAAATATCCCAATCAAGAAATTGCAGTCACAAATAAACAGAGGAAAACTCTATGATATAGAAGTTTTTTTTTCTTTTTTGGTGTATTTAATTCAGTCCTGACTCCTAGCGACTTTGTGAACAAGTTTCTGCAGATATCTTGGTAAATTTTATAAAATGATTCAGTATTGCCTGCTTCCAAAGACTGAGAGAGAATGACTGGCCTAACTGGTTTTGTGCCTAAGGCCTCATTAGAACCCACCATTTCCCAGTTTCTAGCCTGGTACTTTAACCCCTCCACCAAACAGCTTACAATATAATACTATAATTGCCATTGTTCTGAAGCTGCTTTGTTTATATAACTGAATCCAAGAGACTGTTCATCCCACCACAAGGGATTTGCACCAGAATGACGGACTTTGGTCCTTATTTTCCCATAGATCACTTTAGCAGGGGCTTATTACCCTCACCCTCACGCTAATTTCAAAATCAATTTCTCATGTACAGTTTGTAGTTGCTAACCTGATGACCTCTGGAAGGGTGTGCTGTTTCAACAAAGCCCTAAGTAAATAAGCTCCTTAAACCAGCTTCACAGTAGAGTAAGTTTCTTCAGGCAAAGCAAATAAGCTATACTGTTGTTTTTTTTCCTATTCTTACTGCCTCGTTTGACACTTTCAATAGCTGGAAGCAGAAGTCTCTTTCAACAGGTCCAGCCATCTTCATTATGTGCAGAAATCTCTTTTGAATATTGGAAGCATTATTTGTTTATAAGATTTGTGTATAAGCCAATCACAACACACTCCAGTTACCTCAGCAAAATATTATTAAAACCTAAGGACTTAGACAATGTACAGGACCTTGTTAAGGAAAAAATTATTGTCATTTTATCTTGGTCAATAAAATTGCATTGCTTCATTGTATGAAGCCCTTTATTGGGACAAGGCCACTCTAATCGAATAGGCTGTGGATTTCCATGGATCATGGCCTTTATCTCCAGTAGATTGTAAATGCCCCTTTTTTACCAAGATACATGGCTTTATTTATTTAAATATAATTATCCAATAGCTTATTTATGTGCTTTCTTATGGATTTAATTGTGAAATTTTAACAGCTTTTAGTCTGCATGGTTTATAAACACAGACAAATAAATATAAGCAAATAATTTAACACGGACATCTTCCAAAGAGGATGTACTAGCTGAATATATAATGTATCATCTATTTCAGTTCTCTCTTTTTAATGCAACAGATGTCAAAAACTTGTTTCTCTATAGGTTGGGTGTCTATTTATTTATTTGATTTAAAATAGTACTTTTATGGACAAATATGGTACATTCCCAAGATTGTGAAATGGAAGGGGAAGAGGAGGGGAGGGAAGGAGAGGTAAGGGATAAAAATCAAGATAAAAGCCATACCTTCTAAGATATCAAAAGATAACCCTAAAAATATTGAAATAAACTCTAATTCTGACTGGATTCCCAATTCCCTTATGCAAGAGAATGGTTATTAGGCAGAAATCAGGACCATAGACAGTTCCCAAAGAAATCTCTGTGGGCTAAGCTAAAAAAACAACTTCCTGCTGCATTTCCACAATATGAAAAGACTTTGGTCTGATTGTATTTTTTGTCTCAGTATATTGTATAAATCCATCCCATTTGATCAGTTTGTGATTCAGCGTATTGCACAGACCAGAAAATTGGTTAATTTAGTAGCCAGTTCAGTTTTAGAAATAAAATCATTAGGTGTTTTTGCTTCTATAATGCAGAAGGAAGAGATATAGTACTGGGAAAATATTCTCTGAATCCAAGAAAAGCAGAAGGGCAGTCCTCAGGCTGGGAGGCCACAGAAGACAATACTGAAGATTTCTCCTTAATGAGGCACTTTGGCTTCTCTCTTTCTTATTGTCAAGCCGCACACAGCTGGACAAGATCAAGGAACCAAGAAGTACACAATATCTCAGTAAGGTTTCTTTAATGCTGGTTGGCAGTAAATACAAAGTCTTACTTAGAAATAGGAATTTTCCATCTTCATTTTCAATGAACTAAGTAAGACAGTGTATCTTTAAGCAATTGAAATGTTCTTTTCCTTTGTAGACTTCCTACAATCTTTCACACCCAGAGAATACAATAACTAAATCCTGCTTTATAAATAGTTCATACATCGTGCAACTTCATTATTTGACTGAACTATGTTTAACTTAATAAACAAACCAGTTGTTTTGGAACATCATTATTGTCCATATACCATAAGTTATCAATCACACATATAAGGAAAAACAAAGGTTCCTGGCAGTTCTATATGGTTTGTATTTGCCAAATTCTAATTTTCATCAATATTGTGTTTGATTATACTCTTTTCTATGAAAAAGCTACTAAAATACTTTCACTGAATACAAACTATGGCAGTTTCAGTCTCATTCAGAAAGGCTTGTTAAACCATTAAATGAAGTATCTAACCCAATGCTGATCATTAGTTTTTAATACAATTATTTTCACGTTTCCAAATATTCAGGAAATTATATTTGTTGATAACCTTTTTTTAGTAAGGTTTGGGAAATTTTTCCAGTAATAAAGC